ACAATGGTCATTACATTGTAGACTGAAATTGCATTTCAATAAAGTGATAAAATTTTGAAAAATTTGCGCAGTGTTGCAATACTTTCTTTCCAACCCAATACATACTCTTCCGGCAATAATAAGAACACCCAGAACGACCGATGCTACAGCCGCCAAACGTGGGCCATTTCTTGGATAAATTGAGATGTCCAAGTGATCAACCACTCTTCATACATGCCATCTCGGTGACGTGATACAATCAAGAGACCGCACCACAGTAAGTACTCTGGACTCCTCTGGCCGTGATACAAGCTGCCAAACGACCTTCCCAGCGGATTTACGACCTTCCATATCACGCATCCGTCTCATGATTGTATCACGGCAGCCGGATACTAGATATCAGAGAATGATTTATCATTGCATACTCCTGTTTCCAAGAAATGGCTAACGTTTGTTGGCTATTACATAACTCGTGCCAAGTATTCTTTTTCTTTGCTGGCGGTGCATTTGACATGGATATGTTTTAGTCAAAATTGCATGACTCTATTAATGTGAAAAAAGTATCGAATGTGAAGACATCAATACCGTTTCCCAGTAAAATTGATTTATCTCTTTCCGAAACGCAGCCCCTCAATAATTTTGTCATCAAGCCGAGTCCCAAAGACCCAGTTAGGTTACTCTTACTTTCACCGTGAACGAGATTTGCAATTTAAAAAAAATTAGTTTGCATGTGAAGTACACTAAGAACACAACCATGAACTTGAAGCTCTCCGCACTCCTCACATGCATCCCTAACATTTTTCCGATGTAATACCTAAACTCTCCGGCCAAAACGTATACGAATAGTTTGAGGGTCCAAAGTTATGACATTAAGGCTCTCCTTTTACAGTTTGTAGACGGAGTGCTAGGCATTAAGCTCCGAGTGTTTAGTCTTTAAGATACTCATTACACAAACCTTGCCTTTTTAGTCCGTTTACGTCTGGAAAAGCTAAAGGTTAGATGTTTGAACAGAGCACTATCCGTATTACGTCGGAATAAATGACCTAAATATTACGTAAAAGAGACTTTATTTCGACGTAATAGCCTATTACGAGACAGGTTCTTAGGTGGGATTCATACATTCACATCACAGAAAACAAAATAATAATACGAAGCAAACCCATTGAGCATCTCGACGTCCTCAGTGCAGGCCATGGCTTCGAGGAGGAGCGTCCTCTCGGAAGCGTAGTTCGTCATATGGTAATGCTTGTAGACGAATTTCCAGTCCTCCACTTCGCCAGTCCGTACTCCTTGGCAGTACACCAAGCCCTTCATGTTCGGGTTTAGTCTGAAAAACATGCAAGAAAATCCAGCTTCTGTAGAATAATTTCGGCTCCTTTGAGTTTTGGTATAAATCTCAATCTTGACATATGGGAAAGCCTTCAATCTATCCGTTTTTGTTGGGTCTAGTAGATGGAACACCTCCTCCCAAGCCACCAAATACAAACTATTGTATATTTCCCCACCACTTTTCCCACTTTTCCTTTAGGTAGAGCTCCGAGAAAATTCAAATACAAAAAAGTCAAACTGACATCCTGCCTCATCATCACAAAAACATCGGATATACGCAAAGGCTCAGAAGAAAAGGGATGGGGCGACCAAAATGCCCCAGGGGGGAGTAACACTACGCGAAGGCCCAGAGCTGAAGCTATCTTGCAAATTCTATCTTGCATTGAAGCTATCTTGGATTCAATGATTTCAAGTGAAGGAATCAACTCCCTAATGCACATGAAGATAATGATCTGAAACTGCACACAGCTAGAACTAAGATTGCAACTTTCAGCCATGACTTTCAAAAAGAGCGAAGATCAAAAGCATCGGCGGGCCAGATATTGACCATTGGAAACCAGTCGGAGTTTTGGGTTCAGTTGTGAATATGGCTAGAACAGTGCTGTAGATTTAAGAAATGCAAAATCACCCCCCACAGGTTATCAAACACCGTGCACTAACCTTCTAAAATTACGTATGACAGTGAACCTTGGGTCGATTGAAGACAAAAAAAAAACAATTTGAGTTGTTTACACTGAAAGCGTTTACCTGAAATTTTACAGAATGATTTTTTTTTTAAATGGCATATGGTACGTATTGTCACGTAAGATTTCAATTGTTTTTTTACCAATCGATGAAATGAAAGTGGAATTGTTTCCTAAATCGTGGACTGCGAAACTTACACTGAGATGTCCGGTTGTTCAGGGTTGTATTGGCCTCGCCATTCACGAAATTGGGTAGAGGTGATGTTGAGGCAATCCGGTTCCCCCATCTCACAAGCTACGGACCAAATGAAACTTTGATACATGACCTCTGTCACGTCCAAATAGTTTCCATCTTCTGGTACATCGTCCATGGTCGGGAACGTGAACTCTGGCACTATCACGTTTCTCAGCAGGCTCAGGATGTAGATCTGTGTGCATGATCACATGCAAAATTGAAACATGTATTAAAATGGGGGGAAGCCTGGGTCGTTCTCCATTCAGTACAGATGGGTTTTATTCCATCACCCTCATCGCATTAGGAGGGTGTTGAGCAAGACTTGAAGTTGTGAGAAAAACTGAAAAAATATTGTGATTTTAAAATGCCATTTATATTTTCAATAATAATTTCANACAATGGTCATTACATTGTAGACTGAAATTGCATTTCAATAAAGTTATAAAATTTTGAAAAATTTGCGCAGTGTTGCAATACTTTCTTTCCAACCCAATACATACTCTTCCGGCAATAATAAGAACACCCAGAACGACCGATGCTACAGCCGCCAAACGTGGGCCATTTCTTGGATAAATTGAGATGTCCAAGTGATCAACCACTTTTCGATACATGCCATCTCGGTGACGTGATACAATCAAGAGACCGCACCACAGTAATTACTCTGGACTCCTCTGGCCGTGATACAAGCTGCCAAACGACCTTCCCAGCGGATTTACGACCTTCCATATCACGCATACATCTCATGATTGTATCACGGCAGCCGGATACTAGATATCAGAGAATGATTTATCATTGCATACTCCTGTTTCCAAGAAATGGCTAACGTTTGGTGGCTATTACATAACTCGTGCCAAGTGTTCTTTTTCTTTGCTGGCGGTGCATTTGACATGGATATGTTTTAATCAAAATTGCATGACTCTATTAATGTGAAAAAAGTATCGAATGTGAACACATCAATACCGTTTCCCAGTAAAATTGATTTATCTCTTTCCGAAACGCAGCCCCTCAATAATTTTGTCATCAAGCCGAGTCCCAAAGACCCAGTTAGGTTACTCTTACATTCACCGTGAACGAGATTTGCAAATAAAAAAAAATTACTTTGCATGTGAAGTACACTAAGAACACAACCATGAACTTGATGCTCTCCGCACTCCTCACATGCATCCCTAACATTTTTCCAATGTAATACCTAAACTCTCCGGCCAAAACGTATACGAATAAAAACTCCCAGGTTTCAATACTGTAATTCCGAGAGGAAAATGTCAAACATCTGCCTCACGATCCGTAATTCGAGGCTCACAAATCAGAAATTCTATGAGTAATGTGTTTGGAACGGAAAAATCAGGCATTACGTCTGGAAAAGCTAAAGGTTAGATGTTTGAACAGAGCACTATCCGATAATGCAGCCTTATTTACTGGATTTATAATGCATTTTCTCTGAAATAAAGCTGCATTATCGGATAATGCTCTGTCCAAGAATCCACCCTAAGTATGTAAGTGTAGTGTCTTTTGTTTTATTATTATAGAAGCAAACCCATTGAGCATCTCGACGTCCTCAGTGCAGGCCATGGCTTCGAGGAGGAGCGTCCTCTCGGAAGCGTAGTTCGTCATTTGGTAATGCTTGTAGACGAATTTCCAGTCCTCCACTTCGCCAGTCCGTACTCCTTGGCAGTACACCAAGCCCTTCATGTTCGGGTTTAGCCTGAAAAACATGCAAGAAAATCCAGCTTCTGTAGAATAATTTCGGCCCCTTTGAGTTTTGGTAGAAATCTCAATCTTGACATATGGGAAAGCCTTCAATCTATCCGTTTTTGTTGGGCCTAGTAGATGGAACACCTCCTCCCAAGCCACCAAATACAAACTATTGTATGTTTCTCCACCATTTTTCCCACATTTCCTTTAGGTAGAGCTCCGAGAAAATTCAAATACAAAAAAGTCAAACTGACATCCTGCCTCATCATCACAAAAACATCGGATATACGCAAAGGCTCAGAAGAAAAGGGATGGGGCGACCAAAATTCCCCAGGGGGGAGTAGCACTACGCGAAGGCCCAGAGCTGAAGCTATCTTGCAAATTCTATCTTGCATTGAAGCTATCTTGGATTCAATGATTTCAAGTGAAGGAATCAACTCCCTAATGCACATGAAGATAATGATCTGAAACTGCACACAGCAAAAACTAAGATTGCAACTTTCAGCCATGACTTTCAAAAAGAGCGAAGATCAAAAGCATCGGTGGGCCAGATATTGACCATTGGAAACCGGTCGGAGTTTTGGGTTCAGTTGTGAATATGGCTAGAACAGAACTGTAGATTTCAGAAATGCAAAATCACCCCCCCCCCACCAGGTTATCAAACACCGTGCACTAACCTTCTAAAATTACGTATGACAGTGAACCTTGGGTCGATTGAAGACAAAAAAAAAAACAATTTGACTTGTTTACACTGAAAGCGTTTACCTGAAATTTTACAGAATGATTTTTTTTTTAATGGCATATGGTACGTATTGTCACGTAAGATTTGAATTGTTTTTTTTACCAATCGATGACATGAAAGTGATTGGAATTGTTTCCTAAATCGTGGACTGCGAAACTCACACTGAGATGTCCGGTTGATCAGGGTTGTATTGGCCTCGCCATTCCCGAAATTGGGTAGAGGTGATGTTGAGGCAATACGGTTCCCCCATCTCACAAGCTACGGACCAAATGAAACTCTGATACATGACCTCTGTCACGTCCAAATAGTTTCCATCTTCTGGTACATCGTCCATGGTCGGGAACGTGAACTCTGGCACTATCACGTCTCTCAGCAGGCTCAGGATGTAGATCTGTGTGCATGATCACATGCAAAATTGAAACATGTATTAAAATGGGGGGAAGCCTGGGTCGTTCTCCATTCAGTACAGATGGGTTTTATTCCATCACCCTCATCGCATTAGGAGGGTGTTGAGCAAGACTTGAAGTTGTGAGAAAAACTGAAAAAATATTGTGATTTTAAAATGCCATTTATATTTTCAATAATTTCAAAATTAAATCTACAGGCAGCGTGAGTCATACGTGCAATACGAATGAATATTTCAGGTTGAAATCCATCCATACATTTCCTGCTACATTGTGATGCTATTTCAGCTTCAGGGACGTAATTGGGTTTTTAAATCTCCGAGAGAAGCCTACGAGAGAAAAAGACGTGAAGACTAGAGAAAGACTCATATTACGAAATGATCACACATACCCCGTACATATAAGCACCCTTATCCCGGAACCCTATATTACGGGGTAGGTGTGATCAGTCTACCAGTGCCCAAGCTTAGCATGAATGGAATTCCGTAAGGCATTAGTTGAAAAGAGAATGAAATCAACCTTGCACATGATGCAAAAAATGTAATTATATTCTACTGTACTGATTATGCAAGGAAAATTGAATGAGGTGCGCCGAGTCAAGTGCTAGAGTTGAAAGGGGGCACTCTTACTCGTACATTCTGGGAAATATCACTCAGTTGATCTAGTCAAATTTTGCGAGATATACAAACTTGGATTAGCATACCAGAAAAATTATTAGTGAATATTTCGCTGATGGCATATTGCACTCGAACCAAAAATTAGGATTGTTCACACTTAGCCAGAGAGTCATTACAATAAAAACATGACCCAGATACATCACGATGAATGTTGGAAAACCTCCTTCTCTTCTATAAAGTGCCTGGCATTTACTTCGAGTGTATCAATCACTCGTCATTAGCTGCTAATAATCAAGATCCATACCTTATAATGTTCGTATTTCTCTGTCGTCTCCAGCATGCTTCGTATGTAGTTGAGATTTCTGATGGTCGTGGCCCACGGCAGGTATGCTCTTTCATTGCCCAGGTATCCAGTCAAGTTGAGGGCAATGGCGTATGCCAGCCTCCCTGCACGGGCCAGATTCAGGGCGTCGTCCAGGATCTGCGCCCTGTGGATTGAGCCACTATCAGCACAGTCGCCGACGAAATATTTTCAATATCAGTGAATTACATTTGCGAATCCTGCGGCAGGAAGAAAACCAGTTGTTATAAGTAAGGGAAATTCTCACAATCATTACAGTGATGGTATTGCGTGATTGTGATTCTTAAAGCAGTAGCAGAAAACGTTTTCCCCTTAACCAATAACGCATTTTGGAACGCTCATCCCATTGTCCGTTAGCGAACTTCACGCAACTTATTCTATTTTAGCATTAGACCTTTCAAGAATAACCGGACGTCTGCAATAATTTCGATTCATTCTTTGCTTTCCGTGTATTTCTTCACTTATTACCGTCGAACAGAGTGCAGGTATAAGGAAAGTCAGTGAAATATTTTTATTATTATCCTAATAACTGATGTCCATGAAACTGCGATCTTCTGTGATCTAAGGTCGCCACCATTTTTAGCGTTTTCTGAACAGTCTTGTATACTCGCATTAGAATTACCTTAATGTTACATGGGACTCCCGTATGATTGCACATGCCTGGAGTGTTTTGCAAATTGCTTGGAAACTTTCGGCTATTCGCCCAACCTTGCGTTCGTTTGTTTGAACAAATACATGGTGTTTACATGTTGGTAAGTAGCGCTAAATATAATAGAGAAAAGGTGGCGACAGCATCGCCCGATAGGAAGTTGTCACCACATTCCACATCTTGCATTGCATAATTTAAATCGTATGTTGATTTTAAAAATACTCTAAGCACTGGACTTTGAGGAAGCGATTCAAAGATTAAGCTATAGGTATACTTCCTACCTAAAGTTGTTCAAGATAACAACTTACCAGCAGTGTCTTTTTGGGTTCGAATTTTATTAAAATGATCTCTTTTGAACTGAGTCACATCATAAATATATGAACTATAAATTAACCGTCTTGTATGGATGAGAAGTACCTCAGAAAGCATACAGATCCATCCATACCTCATTTATCAAGATTTCACGATTTTACTCTGATCAGAGTAAAAATCTTGTTCGTGTTTATCGAACGCAACCTTCTAGGGAAAACTTGAATATATAAAAAATAAATATTTATGGGTGGAATCCGCTCACATCAGAACTTCGGGCAGTAAAGAGAGAAAGGGTGTTTGGTTTCATTCGTATGGTGGTCTTGAGCTGTTGGCCCGTGTTGAGTGAGTACCCGCTCTGCGAAACGTTTTTCATAGTGTGCTTCTTAGCCCTAAAAATACAGGAATGTCGCACCGGTTAAGAGTAGGAATCACTTCATGAGAGAGATTTGCGAGAGCATTCCGAAGTCCTTCCCAGTTCTCCTTTTCGAAATTCACCCGGTAATAACCAGTCTGGTTAAAGTTAACCAGGTACCACTCATCATCACTGGCGGAGAGATTGAGCGCAACTGAACTTCCACTTCGGGTCAACCACGTCATAGCTTCTGTAGAGTGGAATCCACAGAAGCATTGGCTCGACCCGATCAGGTTGATGGGGACGTACCACAGCGTCGGAGTCTCCTCCGTCGCCTCCGGGTTCAACAGGAACCGTTCCTGTTATAGAGAGGGATAGTTGACGACTTCTTGCATGATTTAAATAAATGCACTCATGGAAAAAATAATGTTTGAATTTGGCAGCAGATGTGTTTAGTCGATCAGATGTGCAGAATTTCCTTTGAAAAGTCTATCCGAGAAATGTGGCAGTTGCTCTAGATGTTCTTACTTCTTATATTCGACCTGCTCTAATATCCATTCTGTTCGAATTTTTCCTCTCTGGTTTTCTTCATTTTGAATTAACAACCGTGAATGCGCCTGCACAATTTCGTGGCAGCTCAAAGCCAAATTTTCCCACGTATACTTTTGTTTCCGGGGAGTTCCGCTTTGACGCAACCACTAAAAATTTTAAACTCCCGTTCATGGCTGTAGATTATCGTGGGAACTTAAGGGCAGCTGGTTTTTTCTTATCAACAGTCCTACGTCCCTGAACTCATCAATTACGGAGCTCACATTCCAGACAGTAACATTTGTCAGACTACCAAAGAGTAGGTCCATCACTAAATACATTATTGGCCTCATTCTGCAAGCTTCCTTCCTTCACTAGACCACCTCGGCATCGCCCAGAGGAACTTACCTGTTGGAAGGTGACAGTTCCATTTTTTCTCCTGGCGTTGATTACAGGGTAACCGACGAAAAGTGTCCAGGAGTCCATAATCTCCTTCACCGTTCCCGGGAGGGCCACTGATTCAGTCGCGTTCTCGAATGACCGTTCCAAGTATTCCCAAAAGTCATCGTGGACCGCGTTTCCATACTTGAATGCCTTCAAGTATTCGCTCAGTACACTCCGAAATGCATCCTCGGTCAGAAAGTGGTGCATCATTCGAATGATCGATGCCCCTACATGAATGAGTTACCTTTTAAGCTTGCATGAGCCGTATCCTATATTTGCATGGGTCCTGTTTTACACTTGCTGGATCCATATCTTCCTTTTTTACCTGATATTTTCATTCCCGTAAGAAGTTAAGAATCTTAGTATTGTCAATATTTTATAGAATAGAAGAATTTCATAACTTGGAACTTGTCAGGAAGACCTCCGTCTGTAATGGTCACCTGGTAAAAGCACTCACAATAACATTCAAACGGAAGCATGAACTACATGGAGCGACTACGACTCGCACTATTAAAACCGTCATTCTCGCAGGCATTTCCAAATTATAAGATAATGGTAAACAATAGTAACTCACGTAAACTTAGCTAAATTGTGAATAATTGTTATAGGCAGAGCAAAAAGGAACCATCAGAATGCTTTTTCGTACCTTTCCCATACGAGATACTGTCAAAGACATCGGTGATCTGGTTGGGGTGGTTCACTTCGACAGAGATGGGATGAGAATTATCCAAGGAATCCAGGTGTAGTACCTCATGAAGGACATTGAATGCGAACAACTCCATTCATCCCCAGGTTGGCTCCAACTATAAAGAAGAAGGGTTAACTTTAGTGCAATATATTTGGTAATTAAGGCTTCTAATTTCATTCCATGAATGGATCCGCAATTAATCAGTTAATCACATATGTCTCACTCGTGAATTTAAATAACTGATTAAAGGAAAATATATTTTCGATTAATAGTATTCTAAAATGAAAAACGTGTAATAAATGAGAGAAAATTTTCAAACATGTTCGGAGCCGAGGTACATGACGTAGGAGGCGAACCCCTTGTTTAACCAGAAGTCATTCCACCAGACCAGGGTCACGAGGTCACCAAACCACATGTGAGCTAGTTCATGTGCGACTGCATTTATTAGTCTCGCCAGGTTCGCTGCTGATGTCTCATTCCATTGGTACAAAATGTATTCCTCCCTGCCGAAAGATTAGGGAAAGAACATTAAAAGTAACATCATGAAAACGTCTACTTGTATATATTCCGTTATTTTTGTTTTCGCCAGGAATTTCACTTTTAATGTCATTTGTGGTACATGCGGTAATATTATTGGAATTCCAACTTCAACCATCTTCTGTACTACTTTAACGTATTTGCTTCCAATAAATAACTGAATTGTAATCTAGTTGGAATTTGGGAGCCTCACCAGCTGTTACCTCATCACATCAGATTAATGAAAATAGGGCTACTATACTGATAATTTAGCTGGTGTCAACAATACTCTGCAAATTGGGGTAATCTGTGAAAGAAAAGGGTAAAATGAGATACGAGATGGGGGTAGAAAAATACGTGAATTCTACTTTTTATACTCATAACGGTTGCGCCTAAAATATGCATCTTGCTATTGTATTATTATGACAAGCCTGCATGACATTCCTTAAATTTCGCAGATTGGGAAACCTTGTCTGAGCGGAAGTACATGTACGCTTTTCCTTCTTTTCTGTGGACGGGAGTAAACATTCGGTCGTGGCACCCACCGTGCACACAATTTTGAGTAACCAAGTCTTTCAATGATTGTTTGCTCAGTACTCTTGCCAGTCCCAACACGAGCCTTAAATTCGCGAGTGGAGATGCGTCGATTATTTTTCATCTGCTCATCAATGTATGCCACCGAGTTGTCATGCACAGATGTTGCTGGTCGCCCTGCAAGCGGCTTGCCTTTCAGATCCGTATCAACTTCTCTAGGGCGCTTTACCCAACGCCACGCTGTTCTTACATCTGCAAACGCATCACTAAAAACATGTGTTTAGTGATTGTGAATCTCTTTTGATGAAACAATTCCAATGACTCATTGTTGTCTAATACGTACATCAATTTCGTCGACCAATGTGAACTGTTTCATCTTAGCTGCCATCTGGAGGACGTTTGTAAAAATCTCAAAGTATTGGTGGGAAGTGTAATTCTAAAACCACCTTAAATATAAATGTAATTTCTAAACTTCTAAATCCGGAAAAAAAGGAGGCATTACTTTTTGGGGCAACCCTAGTACAAACTACTTCCGGCACCTAACCTCATTCCGCTTTAGGCTACAGATTCTTAAGGATATTGAAAGCACCGCAAAATCCATATTTCCCCTACCACCATCATTCCGGTCCAGTCGTCACCATCACTCTTTCTGCCGGAATGATTGTGTTAGGTGACATTAACCCTCTTACGGCCCAGAACCTCCCTTCCTCCTTTCAAAATTAAACATGATTGCCCATGACTGATAATGTGGGCTGTGATTCAAGTCTCCACGTGAATTTGTGTAGAGTGAATTTGTGCGAGTGGAGACGTATAGTCTCACGTCTCCACGAGTTTATCTGCAGCCGTGAACGTGAACTTGTACATATTCCGTCGAGAAATTGTTTGCATAGATTACCTGTATGTGACGAACCCCCAGTTCTCCATGGCGCCAGAGGGGAAATCGAGCAGGGCAATCAAGTCCATTTTGGGCAACGGATAAGAGACGTTGAAATAGTCCTCGTAATAGGCGAGGATCTTCGGACCGTATTGAAGGGCCTTCTCGGCATACGGAATCATCTCCTGGCGTGCCCAAACCTGTAGAGCAGGAAATTCGGAAAGTTCGTGGGAAACTTCTTACACATATCCTGAAGTCATTATTCTGCACTATCATTCACAAATGGGTCGATGGCTCTCTTAGCGTGCCAATGCCCTACACTCTTAGAAAAGAGTGAGCGATTTCCGTGAAAGGGCAGCAGGCGGTATTCTCCTGGGGCGACAGTTCACCCGGCTGCATTCGGGTACTACCTGCTCTCCCTTGGGCTGGAGCATAGGCCACTCCATGCTCCACTTTGTGAGAGATAGGGGCTTCGTGCACCTCAATAGCACCCGCCACATCTGCCCTGACGCACGATGTGCAGCGATGGAGGGCCTGTGGCCGGAGCGTGGTGGAAGTTACCACCACCTTCCCCCGGCCGGTGAAAAAGGGATAGATTATGACAGGAAACATGGGAAGGTGGGGCAAAGCCGTCATGGGTGTCCGATGTAGACTTCCATTTCCTCTACTCTTTGTTGCCGCGTGTAACGTTTGTCCTTGTCTGTGTACGAGTATGTCCGTCCCAGTCTATGTTTTATAAGTAAAGTAAAGGAATTGAGCGCTTATGAAATGGGAGATGTGAATAACTCTTTCCTCTATTCAATAAATGTCTCTTAAAATGTATAACATAATACTTGAACAGTAGTTATACCTAGTGACAGTATGCGTTCGGACAACATTGATAGAACCCTCCTTAGTCCAGGATGGTGTGTAGTGACACAGCTTCTTTCCTGGGAATGGCTGGATGTTTGGTAATGAAAGGGGCAAGCATCGAATAGCCTGTCCGCTGTCGATCCATTCATCAGGTCTAATTTTAAAGGAAACTCAAATTCTAAAGCTGAGCAATCTTAAGGTGGGAAATTGTGCGGGCTCGATTCATACTTAGTTGAGATATTCAGGCGCTCACACGATTTTTTCCAATGGGTATTTTGAGACTTTAATGGGCTACTTTAGGAAAACAGGAGTTAACGTAACTTTTATGTTTTAAGATAATGAAGACACTAGTGGAGTGGAATGCTTTGTTCGCTTTCCCACATGTTTTATGGGTCTGAGTTTGAGGTGGGTTTTTTTGTCAACCCCTCCTTACAAGGCTCAGTAATCACTCTAAGCCCAGGACGTGAATCGAGGACAGACCTTGAAGGGTATCACTCCTTCCGCCAGACTGAGGTTTGCGTCGATAGACTGAAACCGAGAGACTGACAACGCCACCAAATAGGTGCTCATCGGTGCCGACGTCTCGAACGACTCCCACACGTAACCTGGATCCTCTGCCCTGTATCACACCAACATTGGTGCTGTGTGTTAAGAGCAATCAAGAATTTTCAGCATAATATGAAATAACTTTGAGAAAAGTTGTGATTTCACTGCACAAGTTAATATATTAAGTGGACCTTGAATGCTAAGGTGAATACATTTAAAAGCACTTTCCGTTTTCCAATTTCAGCAATGGAATGGAGTTTTTTTATGGAATGAAATCGAAATGCGAAAAACTAAATATTCCACTCTCTGGCCCCAAAGAATATGACATACCGCACTCGTGAAATACATGGTAAATCTCGTTTATATGTAATTCTGCAAAGTGCGGCAAACGCTAGATATCACTTTTATTTTTAAACTGATCAAGCATTCAGAACAAAGGATGAATGTGGGAAAAGGACAAACATGTCAGAAAGTGTTGGCATTCGCAATCGACGATGACACGAGATAACTTTGTCCAGTGAAACACTTGAGACTTGGAAATCAACATGCATCTCTTCTTATCAGAACAGATGCATGTTGATTCTCCTTTGTATCCCCTCTAAAGGGATTTCCCGCCTGATAATGCAAGGTATATACTCAAAGTAATCCATACACCCTTCGGTTTGGAACAGGAGCAGGAGAAAATCCGATTTCGTCATATTGGGAGAAGAATGAATACTCATCATGGAGAAACTGATCTCTCAATCGTTCTTTCCTTTCTGTTTCTTTCTCGCGCTATAGCGATAACTCTTAGATTTGACAAAAGTTGCAAAATCTCTCGCCCTATGCAATCGGAAAAAAAGTGGATCTCCATCCATTTCCTCACAATTCCCTTGGCTTTTTTCCTGGAGGTACATTAAAAGACAGATCCTACTACATACAGCATATGGATCCTACATACAAAGACAGATCCAAAGCATACAGATCCTAAATCCAGCAGCTCCTTCAAGATAACTCATCCACAAATTCCCCAATCATTTAGGAAGTTCTTCAATTTCATATAATATTCCCGCCAAATAAAAACTTTCGCTGGGAATTAATAATAAAGAATTTTCAAGGAGTTTAATATGCTTCGCAGTCTGAAGCAACCGGGAAGCGCATGACGATGGTCTCGGGTCTGTCTTGGTTCTCGCAGGACTAAGAACTGCACCAGACAAATACTATGAAAACGGCAAAGGAATTCCCAGCGATTTGCGAGGTAGACATATTTCTGCAATTAAGAACAGAAACGGGTTATCGTTTTAAGTCAATGGAGAATGATTACTTAATAGCAGTTTAGGCGAAAAGAGAGTCCATAATGAAGACAGTTCTCATGATGAAGAGACAAAGGTTTTGAAATAAATTTCGACCGAGTGCATCAAATGACGGTATTTTGGAAGTTCTCCCCATGAATTAGTCGATATTCCCGATCCAAAGAGTCCGGTGCAGTGAAACTAATCATTTTGCTATTCAATAGAGAATAACTCCAAATGAAACTTACATGGGCTGGGGATCAATGAAACTGGTATTGGAAGCAATGAATAGCCTAACGAACGAACTCATTCCATACTGAAATTGGAAATTAGAAATGTATCTTCGTTCATGGAAATGCGCTTCCGCGCATTGAAGAGATGGAACAATTATATCTAGGGGTCAATTTTCCTATGGGAAGATATCGTGAGACGGTTTCGAATAGCTAAATTTCAGGTGGAATAATCTAAATGAAACATCCACATAAACGCGCTGCGTGCATAAAAAAATCTTACGGTTCTAAAGTCCCTGTGGTCTTCGTATTAGTGAGAGCTACCCATTCGCTACCATTGGGTCGCCCGAGGGATATTTTAAATTCAGCCTTGATATCTGGTTCGTCGAAGCAGGGAAATGCTTTCCGGGCATCCGTAGGCAGGAAATGTGAAACCGCCAAGTGCCTGGAAAAAGAAATCGCAAATTGAAACTGATCAACCATACGCAAAGTCATGGATATGAAATTAAAAACTATACACCTTTGATATTTCAAAATAGTTTACATGTTCCATTTATTTCAGATATAATTTGGGTTGCTTCAGCTGTGTGGAACCCAAGAAAAGATTAAATAAAGAGAAAGACTAAGTGGTTTTATAGTTTTTCCCCAAATTTTTTTGGTGGTCTCTTTCTGAGCTGTTTTGGGTAGAGGTGGCCCTGGGATAGTCAGGCTGCAGTTCCCCTAGCCGAGGCCCAAAGGAACCTGTGGACTTGAAGTTCTTGAGAAAAGTGCCGGATTTAGCTTGCAGTTGACAATCTACGATAGCTTCTTTCAGGGAAAATATATACGCCATTCAAGAGAAGCTTGAGAAGACGAGAACTTGTGAGGTCATATCAGTTTGGGGGTTCTGGATCGGCACTCACAGTTTACAAGCTAGAGTTTATGAGTCTCTAAGAAGGTAGGCTGGTCAGTTTCCCGAAAGGTTCTGGTCTATCGTGACTTTTAACTTCGTCGTTATCCAAATTTAAATATTCACGGTGTAGGCTAAATCACACGATAGAAGGAAGCTTAGAGAGCGGTAGAGAATTGGTTGACTTGCAGAAGGTTAATTTGACCGCTCTGGAAGTGGCGTGGGGCTACTTAGAGAGGGCAGGAATGAGTCCTTATTTGTGCCAAACAGAGGCACAGGAAGTGGCCTACCACATGGCAAAGAGTATGGACTCCCAGTAACATTTTGGTTGGGGAGGGTAGATATCGTTGAAGGGAGAAAGGAGGCTTCGTGAGTCTGCCGTCCTCAGGGAAGAGGAAGGAGACTTCTGGAGAAATCAACTTCTATCCAGAGAATACGGTCGGATTCATTGACATACAGAAACGCAAAGTTTAAATTTATTGCAATCGGATGAAGAAATAGAAGGAACTTCCGTGCTGATACACTGAAAGAGGATTTTTCGCGATGAAAGACGAACATATTCCACAAATTTATGGACTACCCCTCGTAGCAGAAGTTTGCATTCATAATACCTGACAGACACTAACCGAGTTTCGTTGTTCTCGATGTAGGAGCTTAGGTAGTAACCGATGAAGTCATTTTGCAACGTTCCCTGGTACTCTATGTGGATCCGGTATTCCTTGCCCTCCTCCAGGTCCACAGCCAGCATCACGATGAAGAATTATCGTTCCTTGTCATACATCTCGTTTATTTTCTGCAACTCGTCTCCTCCAACCGTCGTGACCTTGGTGCTAATTACCGTGATGTTCTTCATGTGGAGGGTGACGTTGTCGCCAGGGCTGTCACAGCTGAGGTTGATACTCACTTTGCCCGTAATCGGGAAGCTGTCCTCTTGGATTTTCGTCATGATCTACCTTACGAAGCAATGTGCGTGCACTTAATAACAAAGACATACTGGTTCATTTTGGTGATTTAAGAATGGTTTTTGTAAAGCAAGCCTTAGTTTAATTCATAACTTGTTATAAAGTGAAATTTCAAGGAGATCTTTGAGTCGTTCCATTTTGACATCCTAGTTATATGCAATTCGGATGTACCTGGAATGATTCAGGGAAGTTCCACGAATTACCTTATGACTCTTGGGTGCCCACGAATCGTGATATCGTGACTAAATAGGCTTGAAGGGGTGTGCCTTCAATAGTCTCATAGTCCCACATTCGACTGGAAATTTCTGGATGCTTTATTAGCTTAGTGTCACGTCCTAACGGCGAACTTGAGGAAATTGCTGCGGCAGCGTTGTCAGACTTTCATATTCTCCATTTCCAGTAATTTAATACAACTGCAATGGTTCGATCACAAATTATTTAGCGAATATGAATGTCCATTATTATCGTTGCGTTTTATATTAGACACCTTGTATTTTGTGAACCATAATGGAGGGTCCTTGTGACTGGATGATATTCACGTGTATCTATGATTCATAAATACCTCATGATATACATGACTTAGATTTTCGGTGAATATTTATGCCTCGTATCATATATTTTTCAATTGAGGAACAGTTTCCCCTACGTAGTGGGACATACATGTGGCCTTTGTACGTCATATTGTATTATTTTCCCACCTTATTCTTTAAATATTATATTCCACTATTAAACTATTCTGTACGTTTTCCACTGACCTTGACGTCGTAGAAAGTGGGATGCAGGTGCAAGGGGAGTCGAATATCAACAGGATAATCTGGATTGGGGGGGATGGATGGGTTGGTGGTGGTGTTCGGCGGGTTTGCGGTGGGAGTGATGGTGCTTAGGGTAGCGGTAGGGGTGGTGGTGGTCGATGTATCGGTGGGGAAGTTGGTCAGGGTAGCGGTAGGGGTGGCAGTGGTCTTGGTAGAGGTGGTGGTGGTGGACGTGACTATGGTTTTGGTCATAGTGATGGTTGTGGTCATGATCCCATCCCCTTCACACCCACACCCATTGTCATCGTGACGCCCAGAGGAGAAATAAACAATGAGTCCCGTGGCAACGATGGCTCCGACAGATACGACAGCCAGTAGAAGGGCCACTTTCTTGGACACAGTTATGGTTGAAGAACCCATCATGGAAATGATTCGATCAGGCTTCTAGCAAAGGTTACACGGTCGGGGTCCTAGCAGTGACTCCGGAGTCTCGGTTTTGAACGTCCGCGTCTAAGCAAATAAGCTGATAAAAATGCACTGCGCATCTCAATGGGCACAGCGATAATGCAGCTTCGCTTCCCTTAGACGTGTGAACATACCACGTACATACAAACAGGTGCGCCGTGAGATGTGCCTTGTCACGCAAAGCAGAACTGGTTAGTGGTTTTATAGGCTGTCCTACATCACTTTTCGGGAAACATTTTCAGGGGAGGTTTCAGTAAGCATCGACACATGGAGCTCCAAACCTTGAAACAGGGCCGTACTGATGACGCGTTTGAGGCATAACGGCATACATTGTTGGAAATTCACTTCGGATAATGACAGAAATGCAGTTCCATATCCATAAATTCCTGAGGACTATGACAATTCTATTTTGCAGGGAGAATCTAGCTCATATTAATATTCAGAACATAACTGAATAGACTTATAACATTGCTGCACAGGAAAATACGAATGCACACCATTAGATACAGCCAGACAACCACTGTGTCACCGAGGGCGATGTTCTTAAAATAGCTCTGTCTAAATTAGTGCCTCGTTATGTAACGCATTGGCGATGCTGTCAGTCATTCCCATATGTGAACACAGACATTAAAATAGACATGGGCCAACTTCATTTGGACACTCATTTCACAAAAATATCATCCTGGAGGAGAAGGAATTTTGATACTACCCCTCTTATTGATGCGGAGAAGACAGAGGGTGAGGTCCTACACGGAAGACAATCACAATCTGAGCCCAACTAGGCTTTGGTCTAAGACTCATACTCAGCCTAAGGGATGGAGGAACGTTGGGGGAGGATGAGAGGGGTGAAAACCACTTAAACAGTGGTGGCTCCCTCATCGCTCGTATCGAAGTGAACACCTTGAAGTTCTTCGCCAGGCCCATAGATGGCGGTAAGGGTCTCGCTTTTCGCACAGTACACAAAAGTTCCTTGCAGGATTGTTTAGTACCTTGCCATATGTCTCGCATAGTCTCATTATAGGAATCAATAAGCACGGACACTTCATCATTTGTGATCCATATAATCAAGACATATTCATAGAGTCCAGGCCATAAACACGCTCATATTCTTATTGAGAACCCTTTTGGAACGCGTTTGGTCTTATCAGCATAGGAGACCTAGAATAAATAGAGTGTCCGTGAATTTCAATCATATATCTCAATTAATTGAGGTGATAAGGGACTGATATTCCGGGTACTTCACGGAACCTATCAGAGGTGATACTTCTTCTGACCTGTGCTGCAATCAGTACTATCAGAGGTATGTCATCGTCTGTACGAGAGCGAAAGTGACGCACATTATATATGAGAATTTTCGTATTTGCATGACATCTCTATCACTTTCTGATGGGAGCGTTTTTACTCACGGAGGAGGAGAGCAATTTTACTCCTTGGTATGGAGCAAATCCGCTCCTTTCCCAGAGTGAAAGGGGGGTGAAACTGGAGTTAGCTATTTTACTATCTTTTTTGAGAAAAATCGCTCCCCTTTTTCTAAGAGTGTACAACCTTTGAATAACTCTCGCTCTCGTCATCTTCCTTGCGTCGTTCTTGAGCGCTTTCAAAGGACTGAAGATTATGTAAGAGGTATCAAAATAACACGTCATTCTTCATTTTGAGAGATGAATTCCAAGAAGAAACTTTGGTGGTTTGCTTCTTTGCGGAGCATGTTAGTGGCAAGAAATTGTCGAATCTTCCCGTATCTCATTATGAACGCATGAAATCCCTGGATTCCGGGCATCAGGCGGGAGGCACTGCAGTGAGCGATGCCTCCGTTCCCTAGAGTATGAAGGCAACTCTTGCCGCTTCGTTAATAAGAGACATGGCGGGACGAGAGCTAACTTCCGATTTACCATGAAAGTTGCTTCCCCTCCCATTCGTAAGGCCGATTTGCAAATTTAATTTTTAAAAGGCACATCCTCGGATGATAGTTTTTCCCAATTGCTAACGTCCGTTTCTCAAAAACTACACTTCCGTTTTCAAAACAATTTAAACAAATCCCTGAACTCTGCACTCTTTTCACAAAACTTAACATACGATTTCATTGCTAACGTACGTAAAGCGAAACTCGAAGTGCGATTTTCCTATCTTCACGGACCATTTTCGAAACTTAACGTACGGAAAAGGATAAGAAGACCGATTCGACGAACGCCAAGGATGGATGCATGGCTGCTGACTACAATCCACTGGCCTATACTCCAACAAGTCCCTTCCAACCAATCACAAAGATTTTCTCATCGTTTAGAGTTGTCAGAGCTAAATGCTTTGTCGCAAACGTTGAAAGAATTTCTTACGTCGAAGCAAAAATGTAATTGACAAGCGATAAAGCTGACTGCGATTCAGTAGTATCCTAAATACCTGATCTTGAGTATTTACTTACGATTAATTTCTGTTATTACCAGCTAAAAAGGGTTGAAAAGGGTATTGCAGCCACGACTTTATGGGTGAAAATTGTTGCTTATTGCCTTGAGCTGATCACCAACCATTTTGTGGTCATTTTTGTTTACCATAGATTACAGAAGTTGTATGACCTTGGGGTCATTTTCATTCATAGATATGAGTGTTAATTGCGGAAATCGCATGTTATGATCGCCAAATCTTCCCAACTTAGGCTCGCTCAATTGGCTCGTAGAGGGGTATTCGACCCTGCGCTCTTTTTGAATGCTGACGAGGGATGCATATTTTTTTTGCAGCCTCCTAGGAACATACGACCCAGATAGGATCGTGTCTTATTGGTATAGGAAGCGATTTCTGCCATTTTTTAAATGCATAAAAATGCATGTTTTTACATATTTCTCAACATGTGCATATTTACGCTTATATGTGCATATTTATGCATGTTTCGGTCATTTTTATCAAAAAAGTATGAGTTTTCCAACAATATGTTTCTTTATGAGCAATCTATGACAATTTTCAGGCTGTTATGCGCTTGCTGGAGTGGTAAATCCCCCGAAACTCTGTTCTGAATCCATCCGCTACCTCCATCCCTCTCGAGGTTCTTCGAAAAATGGACTTTGTTTTCCCTTAGTCCTCCATTGGTGAATTCTTGACTTCGCCGCTGGTTGTCACAAGAATAGATCCACTATGCTCAGTAGAGGCATGAAATGTACCTTTAATTTCCTTCAGCTGAAAAGAACCGAAACTATATTGTGTTAGTTGTCTGAGTAGACGTTGAGGACAAGAGTTCCTCGGTGTATGATCTGCAAAACTGTAAAAATAGTTCATGAACAAATTTCTTAGAGAAATGCCTTGAATTTATTGGCAATAGCACACCATCAGCCAGATATACCGCCATTAATTATATTTAAAATTGTCATACAGCATACGTGCCATACGTCTTTCACCGAAACAAAATTTCTGATAGAATACATTACTGTTGTCCTTTAGAGCGAATTTAAGGCACTCGCATCAAAACTTAACGTCCTTGCCTCAAAAAGTAACGTACGCTCCATTGAAAGACATTGGGGAGGTTCTGGTCGGTTTCGCTTTTTATGGCTGACAGGGCAGGCATCGATCCAAGAGACTCCTCGCTTTCCCATTCACAGTAATGGATCGTCCTTTGAGTTTTGCCGATGGTGCGTTAAGTTTTGACTCCAGGTACGTTAGAAATTGATTGTAGGACGTTCTGTTGTCCCATTTGGAGAGCGGAAATTGAATCTCGACAGCAGTACGCACAGTTTTGACACGGGTACGTTATGTTTTGAAAGTATTACATTATCACATTATCGACTTTCCGTATTCGGAGGAATTATTTTTCCAGTCTGCCTTTTGGCTGTCCATACACGTTCCTAACCCCGTACGTTAGAATATTGAAGAACGTACTTTGATTTTGACAAAGGGACGGCCTTTTGACTGCCAGACGCATGGATATGAGAAAAGAGCGCAGTGTTTTGCGGATCGTACGTTAAGTTTTGAAAAATGTCCATTGAGATATGAAATAGGGCTTTAGTGATTGGAAAAAAAAACTGTAGGTAAAGAGAATACTCCAGAAAAAGAATGCAATAACGCCAAGAACATATGTTTTTATTATTTATTTATATCCATGAAACCACGAAATTGCCGTTCATATTTTCTCAAGTTTTCGTTCCTTTATACACAGTTTTCCTTTCTTACTTTTTATTACTACCGAGAGTATTGCTTCTTTCTCCCTCCTTACTTATGTGCTGTTCTTCCCGCTCCAAATGTGCGTTTTAATTCCAATCCAGCTATCCGCAGAGCAGTTGAACTCCTGCGATAACGAAAAGGTGGGGCAAAACGGGGTACGTATTCGAATATTGCTTTACCGATTTTTTATTCATTACATACGCCCACTTAAATAGGTCACAGAACAGTCAATGAAATAACAACAAATAGCAATCTAATAATTTTCCACAAATTTTCCCGGGTCTTCATTAACTGCCTATTTACGAAATTCGCAAACTGCAACGAAACATCCACAAATTACAAACATATGCCTTCTCTCCTTTCCCCAGGTCTTCCTTCTTACTTACAAAGGTCAAAGAACAGAAACAACAATGAAACTTCTACAAATCAA